AGCATTGTCTCCAGCAGATCACACATTTTTAACTACCAATCCTTAAAATGACATAAAGTGTAAAAACTTCAAATAAGGGAGGTCTTGAGCCTGAAAATTCCTGTAAGTACATATATATATATAGTGTTTCATACTGAAAATAAAATATCTAACTTTCTGGTGCCAACTTTTAAATGCTGTCACATCAGCAGAGTTTGATGTGTGATAAGTACAGCAAGACAAAGTTCCAAGTTTTTTGCTATTTTGACTAAATAATTATATAAATTCATTGGCGGAAGCACAAAAACGAGTGTACAAAAGGGTTTTTGTCTTGTTTTTATATATGTATATATATATACATACATGTACATATATGTATACATGTAATTAAATAACATATGAGTTGTTTGTTTGTTTGTCTAAATAAGCAAATGAACCTATAAAGTATTGTATTCTGACAGATTGTCCAAAGCAGGTTTATTGCTTAATCAAAGGACATTTCTGTAACGGTCTCCTTCCACTTCTGGCTAAAACATGTTTCTCTGGAAGCTGCTGATGTCACAGGAGGCGACGCCATCAGATTCCCTGAAACAAGGCAAAGCTGTTGTGATTCATGCAGGTGTGAAAGACAAGCGACGGCTGGATTCATCACCGACACGGACGACGAGCAGCAGGATGTGAGCTCACGTTTATTCATACAAATGAGCCAGTAAATCTGATGCTATCTGTCGGTGCCGGTAGTTCATGTTCTGTCACATTCCCGGGTCAGATTACTACAAGCAGGAGAAGACAGCACAGGCCGGACATTTAGACCAACACAGACACTGAACTGGGCTTTTTAGAACTTCCTTTTTGCAGGTAAATGTGGAAATGGAAATTGCCTGAGGACTGACAACTCTTCTTTATTGTTTTCTTTGATGCTTTGAGTGCANTGAATAAAATGGTGTCGACTGCTTATTTACCTCTTGATGAAGCTTCCATAGTAAAACAGAAACACCATATGGACCTGTTAAAAAGGTTTAAAACTTAACTTGCACCTTTGGAGCTCTGGTCTCCTGCTAAAAACCAGAAGTCCTGTCCTGTTTGCATGAGGTTCTCCTGCCCATATACAGTCTACAGCCTACTGTACATATACTGTATCCACCTGCACACGCTCAGGCTGCTGTGTGCTCGCATTGAGCTCATATCTCATCGTCAGCGAGTGAGAATCCCCCCTCTGCAGTCACACCAGCCAGCAGTGAAACCGAAATCCCACATTAGAGCACATTAGAGTCATGCTGCTTTTAAGCCATTAGTCGGCACATAAAGGATAATTTTCTCCCGCTTCTCCACTTGGGGACCAGATACATGCCTGTTTCCAAGGTAACAGCATAGAACATCCCATCTGTAAACGCATAATATGACTTTTGAAGGTCTTGCGGAAAATGAAGCATGAAACATGATCCTTTGTGGCACCACGGCAGCACATGTCCTACTTCTGCGTGTCTGAATGCAGAGTCTTGGTGCAGAAAGATTCAACTCATCTCCTTTAAAGTTCAGGAAATGTCCATTCATTCATACAGATTTTTATATATATATAAATTTGTTGAACACAGACTTTATGGGGGTGTGGAGTTTGCAGGATGAGGCTCCACTAACAGAACCCATCCAGGTGTTTTGTGGGATCCACTGGTTTTATGGATCTTAGCTCATAGTAAAGACTTTAAGTGTCAAACTCAGCAGCACATTTTTCTTTTTCTTTCTTTATCTGCTTTCCCACAGCTCCAACCGTGCAACATCCAACCTCTGCAGCATCCCTTTAATCTAAAACTGACAGCGTGCTGGTTCACATGAAGCAGGTTGTTGCTGTAGATTTTACTGCCACCTACAGGTTAAATATGTAAATGTGTCAAAAAACTAGAAACACAGGGACGAGTGTGACATGAATATAATGCAAAGCGATATGATTTTCATAAACAGCTTGGTTCAGTACAGAGCAGAGACATACGGAGAGTGAAATGATATTAAATTAAA